TTGTCCACAGCTTAAGTTATGTTTTGTCTGTCATTTGTGCAGTAAGATCCAGTACAGGTCTTGGATGAATGTAAATTGAGACATTTTGACAAATATGGTAAATTAAATGATATCAATTTACCTTTCTTGTGTTCTGGAATTTCTCCCCTTGCTGCTAACAGAAATATTGCTGCCAAACGACTAGGTCTGTGATAGATGAGAGAAAAAGAAATACAACTTCTATATGGTAGGGTACAAAATAACAACAGAGAGATATTGCAAATAGAGATAACCAACTTTCGTGAAACCATGAAGAATATCACAGTTTGAACAGGATAATTTAGCAGGTTTTGCTTAAAGCTCTCAAAGGAAACAGCTGTAAACGGTGACTGGTGAAAATCTCAACCCCTCTTCCAACACTATCACACCAAAAGCCTTGAAGCTCCATGGATCAGCCATACACTGTAAATAATAACTCATTGTGCTTTCTATATATTAATTTACTTCAAACAGTTTGACAGCACTTGACAAATTTTCAGCACCTTAATCGAGACGAATTATGGGAGGAAAGGGGAAAGAAGGGAGGTGAGGGGAAGAAAAGGTTAAGGAAAGAATGATAGGGGAACAGGAGAAGAAAGTAAAGGAAGAGCCAGAGAGGTGGAGTTAGGAAGGGAGGGTGGTGCCCTGATGGGAGAAGAGGCTATGTAATTAAAATACTAATAACGTAATAAGAATTACCACCCAAGGGTATAGGAGGTTGTAGTCTATTACCTTTTAAACGTCATGTCTTATGAACTGTGATTGTGTCTTATTATTTGGTTTGTTAAATTTTATTATAGAACTGTTCAGATGATTCAGGGGAAAATGCATTAATTTCAGCCAGATCTGTGTAAAATACTTTAACTCTGCCTAAACTTATACAGTTAACATATTTATTTTCATCCTTAAAGTGTACTCATGAGTCTTAAAAACTTTAACACTGACAATGCAAGTGATAATTTAACATAGTAGAACATGTCTGTACAAAACTTACTGTACTGATGCAGTGAGCAAGTCCACTCCAGAGTAATCTCTCAGGGTAGGATTGGCTGTGAGGAGTTAAACAAAGTGACTGTTTAAGGGATACTAACATGCACGTGGAGGAGCCACTTAGCTCACAGAAACACTTCCTAGAGCATTATTAAGATTGCCAACAATGAGACTGTGAGCATGTATGAACAAACCTAAAACTTGTATTAATATATTTGTAAATCTGGCTGCATGCACGCCTTCTTTAACTCTGGAGTTATTTCAGGAAGCCAGCTAGTCCCCTTTCTCTTTTCTAAATAAGTTATACACAAATACCTGCATGTGGACCGAATAGGAAAAAAATATTTAACTAGCTGTACTGACATCAGAAAGATATTTTTCATGGCGGTTTGAAGGTAAACTTCAAAAGTTAAGAAGATTTTTTGAGAAAAAAAAGTTGCTGGTTGCATTGAACCACCATAAAATCTGGAACAAACTCGATACAGTCGAACCTCTGGTTGTGACCACCTCTCCTAAGCGACCACCTCTCATAGGCTACTGCGACCATTTTTGGAGCTAAAAGTTTGAAATTTCTTTTTGTTTTTAACTTCCCACAAGTGACCACTTGACAGATAATAGAACATAAATTAGATAAGAAGTTGCTGCAACATTATTGCATTCCTGGGAAGTACAAGAGACCGAAATTTCTCCATGGGAAGGCACGGTTTTTTCTCGAAATTAATTTTTACATGAATAAAACGTTTAAAACATGGGATAAGTGTCTGTAAATAACATATGCTACTGTGGCAAAATTTTGACCCAATATGGTCTAGGCTCTCATAAGTGACCACCTCCTGTAAGCAACCACAGAGGCTTGACATTTTGGGTGGTCGCTTATGGGAGGTTTGACTGTAGTCTCAAAATTGGTAGTCTGAAAATTGGCACGCTGAGATCCACAGAGACAGCTAGCATAGCCAAATGGTTAGGGTACTGAAAATCTGGGGGGTCATGGGTGCAAGTCCCACTCTGACTGTTAAATAAGCTAGTGTTGTTTCTCAGTAGACCCTAGTTCAACTCCTCAGTCATACTTTTTAATCCCTTTAATGCTTATTTGAAATACCACTTTTGTTCAGTTTAAGGACATTTGCACCCATTGTCCCAAAAACGAGCATGTTGTCCCCCCAGTTTTTTGTCTTTTTTCAAAAGTAGATCTTAACGCATGGCAAATTTTAAAAAAAATCTGCATGTGGTAACATTTTGAGTGCAAACATCCTTAAGTGGCATGCCTGAGAACTACAATCATGGACAAAAGTCTTGAGATAAATTTGCAGTATTGGTGCTTTTG